CCATCTGGCGTGAATAGCAGATTGGTGATGAATGATGATCAAAGCGTTTGGAAAATTGGCATGGGAGACATCCTACAATAAAACCACCTCCATCAAAATTATTAATCTCTTTGTCTTCCCACTATGATTCAGTCACATTTCCTGAAGTTAAATTAGGGTTAAAACTAAAACACTCGGGTGTATAATAAATCCTGTGGTGGGTGAGATTAGGGCTCTGCAAAATGAGCTCGCTGAAGATGAAGAAACTGTGTTGGAACCAACCTGTCGAGTGAACTTGTAGCCGCAGTCTACACACTCAAACTTCCTCATGCCTTTATGACGACGCAGGTGGACGCGCAGCTGCTCCCTCGCTGAAGGAGAAAAGAACGACCAGAAGATAAAGAAGAAATCACTTCACCGGTGATTCTTTCATTAGCAGCGCTTCATTCATCAGGGCACAGGTCATGAGTAACAACAAATTTATTGTAGAATCAGCGCCTGACCTTTGAAAGTTTTACCGCAGATGTGACAGCAGTGGGGGCGGCCTTCCTCGTGCTTGCTGGCCTTGTGTCGGAGAAGAGCGCCTTTCTCCGTGAAGCGCTGCTCACAGACATCACAGCCGAAGGGCCGCTCGCCGGTGTGAGTCCGGTGGTGTTTATCCAGACTGGCTGGCAGTGACATAGAGAGATTAACACAAATCACAATATCTGTAGTTAAAGTGGACGTTTGCAAAGGCAGCAAAACGGCTACGTGATTGCTCTTAGAAGCACAAAGCACACCGGACCCCATCGATAGTAATGTAGGGACGTTTGGGTGGCACAGCATTACCTCAGAGCAAGTAGGGTCTTCGTTTGAGATGCATGAGATCTTTCTTTTGCTTCTTTTAGGCAATTTCCTGATTCTAAATTTGTCACAGGGGTGGATACAAGGTGAATAAAGCGCTTATGTGCAGAGAATATGGCTGTTACCTTGTGTCCTAAAGGTTTTCCCGCAGAGGTGACACTGGTATGGCCTCTCGCCACTGTGTATACGCAGATGCATGTTGAGGTTGTTCTTTTGGGAGAAGGCGTGGCCACACGAGTTACAGACAAAAGGGCGCTCATTTCTGTGAGCAAGAACAAAACAGACTTAAAATAGTTTTCCTTAAAACTTTAAGTCTTTTACACTCTTATTCATCCTCAAGAGGAAATTCACAGAAGACATGCTCTCCAACCTGTGGATCGCTTTGATATGCATCTGCAGGCCGTTTCTACTAGATGCCCGATGGCCACACTCCTCGCACACAAACGGCTTTTCTCCACGATGTTTGGCGGCTTCGTGCACGCGCAGCTCCGCGCGAGTTAAGAAGGTTTTGGGACACTGGGAACACTAGAAACACAGCAACACAATCAAAACA